GAAAGTTTTAAGCCTAGCCTTAAAAGTAGACAGGGTGTCTGCTTCACGGACTAAAACTGCCTCCCATTCTACTTTTAGAAATTCTAGGAACCACTAGTAAACCTGCAGATTGAGAGCGAAGTGCTCTGTTAGGAACAGAAGTATGTACACCACCACCACCATTTGGAACCCCCATCCTAAACATTAGTGAATGCTAACTGGCTAATAAAAGCTAAACAAAATGTCAGTTACTCTAATACCTGATCTGCACCCATCACTGGTTTGAACAGTTAAAATTGTTTGTATTCATAGCTGCAACATGTTTCTTTGACTGTGGAGGCAGGGCGAGATCAGAGGGAGAGAGAAGCAGGAAGTTCAAGCCACCTCTTCCATCGATCGCGATGCAAAATCTGAGAACTCTGATAACATCACGAAACCAAACAATCAACAGAGCAGTTCGTTTACACGACTTCACCTCATATTTTCATCTCTTAGCGTAATATTCAGTAAAAACTCGCTGTGATGTCACATGTAACGGTTTACCCACCCACACTGAAAACAATCGCTCTCCTCCTTCTGCTCAGGTGTGGTCCTCACTCTGGTCATCCTGGTCCTGATCCGCTGCTGCTGCTGCTGCTGCTGTGATGATGAAAAGGTAAACACCCACAACTGATGATGGTCTAAGATTGTTAATAGAAAGGGACTTTATGAGAGAGCTCCCACACAAAGGCTGGGAGGAGACGGCGTGATGCCAGGATGGCGGGTTTCCACAGCCCCCCCTGAAGAAGAGAACGGTCCCCAGTGCCGTTTCTGGCAGCCATCTTAGATTTAGTCTAAGTCCTCAGGACTGCATCTATTAGTTTTGGTCACGTTTTAGTTATTACGATATGTCATAGTTCTTACTCGGTTTCAGTCGACTAAAACTTAAAAAGGTTTTAGTCAGTTTTATGTTGCAAAAGAAAAAAAAAAAGATTTACAATTTGGAATAACAACCAGATTCTTTCCCAGACTGGCAGCTCTATCCTAGATGCTACAGTAGCTGGGCATAGAATGCTGCCGTGCAGATCATCATTGCTGTTGGACAGAAAACTTTGATTTATAAAATTCAAATAAACTTTTTGATGAATTAATGTTCTACCTTATAAAAAAGTGTCTCACAAAAGTTGGGAAAATAGCAGATCTAGTTCAACACATCCTATCGGTTAATCTAGCCGACAAACGGGCTAACAACAACTACCATAAAGGAATGGTTTCAGACTCCAGGGTTTCCATCCCAAAGCAAACACTTCCTGATCTAATATGAATTCTGCTTTACACACAGATCAATAAAATCTGCAAAAAAAGAAAATAATAAAATCATTCTTCTTTCTATTTTGGCTATTTTTATTTTTTTTCTTCAGTTTCCCCCTTGGTTCCTGCAGCTCAGGGGTCAAAGTAGATTTAAATTCACAGGGCTTGATAAGAAAAATACAGAGAGAACCTCCATAATTGCCTTGTAATGCCATGGCAACCCCAGACCTAAAGTGAATTAATATGCTACTAAAATGTTAAAATATTCACAGGAAACAGAGAAAATGTTTTAATGAGAATACAAGCAAACATTTCCATCATATTTAAATAGATAGAAACGAGAATAATGAGAGAGAAATATTCAAAGATCTACGTATCCTTTCATCAGGATATTTATCCAAAAATAAACGGAATGCAATGATTTTTTGGGGGGGATTTAAGGGTTTCCTTTGAAATTAGAGAAATTAAAGAGTGTTTAGACTCACCTCTTGTGAGCTGGAAGAAATAAAATCTCGATAGTTAGACAAAGAGATTCTTTACGCTCGGCAGAGGATGATCAGCCACATATAGTTTATTAAGTAGCAAGAGGAGGAAAAGGGGGGTGGGGGTTGTATACTTGCCTTATACTTGCCTGCAGATAGCGCCACCGTGCATCTATATATAGAAGTTCTGTTACTACACCACCACACAGTGAGTGATTGCTGCAAATGTGCCCAGCTTTGAAAGCGTTCTTTTTGTCCCAGCAGTGCAGATCAAGATGTTTTTTAGGAGTGGCAATGGAATCATGATGCACTGTAGGCTATGTAATGTGTTTGAGGCAGTCAACCAAAATCCTGGATGATTTTGAAATTCCTCCTTGACATTTTATTTCTGTCTGAAAAAGTAGGATATGTCCGTAAAAAAGAGGACGTCTGGTCACCCTAACTAAAGTATTCTTTGTAATGTGGCGGAAGCCAAACTAGTTTTTGCAATCTTTCTTTCTAAATTAAATCTGTTTGGTTGATTTTGCTTTTTATCCTTTGAGTATTTGTGATTTTTTAAAATAACTATAAAGAAAGTGTTTTTTTTGTTTTGTTTTTTCAGCTTATAGTCATGAACCCATTACCGTATTTTCACGACCATAAGGCGCACCGTACTAAAAGGCGCCGTCTCAGTCATGTGTCCCATTTC